AAGACCCACGGGTAGACAGCTGTTTCAGCCTATTGGGCATCTTCAGTACCGGGCAGGCGGTCCTCGATTGAAGACAAAATGGTGGCTCTTAAATTGAAATCAATATGGTAATGATCAAAAAGTACTTATCTATTTATTTTTTGATTTTCATAAAACAATCATAAAATACGGTTAGTAAATATTATCCAATACAAACCGCCAACTCTACAGTCCACGTGGACTAGTTCGCTGCCGGTTCATTTCTATGTATTGGTTTTTCTGGCCATTGAGAGTGCCGCCAACTTTAAGTATGAACAATATCTTTTACTTCGACTATACCACGTACGTAGAACTTTATTCGTATAATTTTTTCAATAACTTCCAAGAATTTTCAAAATAACAAGCAAAAAAATCTTTGCGCAACAAAAACAGTTGTCTAACTGTGATGAACGTGATTCAATCGTCAATCTAATATTAGCCTCCGAATGAAATACATTCAAGTTACGGTGAAAAGCGTTCATCAATATTTCACCGGTTTTGTTCTGATAGATAAGTTAATGGTTCATTTGAAGGCCTGATCAGCCTGATCAACTAATCTCAGTTCAGATATTTTAGCAAATACTCCAGTAATGAGCATTCAGGATCCGCATAGTTTTCCTTAAATAATTCACACGACAAGAAAACAAACAACACCTACTCATCTAGTTCATCGAACTTCGGATCCTCAATCGTCTCATACACAACAAACTCTTTGACGATCGGTGTAATAATTCCGCGCAATATCACCTTCCCAAATTCTCTCGGAATTTAGGCGGAACGGGGACATTGAAAGAGAACCACCGGCTTCTTTCGCGAATGGTCATCGACCTTCAATTCGATGTGAAGAAACGCAATAGACACGGTCACGGCCACAGTCTATTATTTCCAACATTCTAATGGCATTCAAGCAGTCTGCGGCATGGTAATGTTTTCTGATTCAAACTTCAAGCAACGGCGGTCTGTTCACTGCTCTTGTTCTGAGTAGCATTCAGTACCGAAGAAATAAAAGTGGCTTTTTCAAATGAAAATACAGTTGGAAAGCATTTTTTCTCGAAACTAAAACACCACAAGAAATACAATCCAATATTGTGTACAAATTGAACTGTGGAAGCTGTCGCAAATGATATGTTGGTCAAACCGGACGTTATCTTCGAACACGAGTTTCAGAACACATGAGAGACTCTGAGAAACTTAATGTAAAAAACTCTACAGCTCTCATTGAACATGAAAAAGAATATGGACACATTTTTTATTTTGATCAGATGTTCAACCATATTTATCAAAAAGACTTTTGAGCGAAATGATACATATGCTCAAATGCGATAGTGTTAACACTAGAAGAGATGTCGATGGCCTTAATACTGCATATTTCAATTTGATACGTAAAATACGTGAATAATTTATACTCATCTAATATATCTGATGGTTTTCAAAATATTATTATCAGCAACACTATTATTTTTTATTATTTCTTATGAAACTGAAACAATAATAATCGTATGAGTTTTGTGGGAGGTATATTTATGAAAATTCATTGTCCTACGAGTCCTAAAGACTCGAATTCCCTGATTCCCTTTCTTTATGCTTATTCACGCTATACAAAGAACCTACCTGCATATTTCAATCCATCCATCCTCCAATATTTCACATTTATATTAGTATAGATTTATAAACGTACCTTAACGTTGGATTTTATATGTATTTGATATGTTATTCACATATTGGCTGACCTGTTACTTGTCAAATCAATATTATTATTATTATAAAAACGCACACACTTGGCGGAGATACACACAATTATCAGACTAGAACTCGATCCCATTTCTACATTTCCAATATTAGGGTAACCTCTACAAATAGTCGGTATCAAACTGTTCATCTCTACTTCAACTTCAAAGATGCTCCAATAGGAAAGTGTAAAAGTAACATTTCCAGTAGAAGAAATAACGAATAAAATTTCATGAAAAATCCATACTTTCTTTGGAATATTATCTCTCGAATACTTTATACAATATATACTTATACTTCATAGGGAAATACAATCAAACTGAAATTGATGATTAAATTTCGGATTCACCTCGTAACAAGACATTCTCGATCCCCCATAATGGTACAGTATTTACGTTGAAGAAATTTATGAAAACACACTGGAATAGGAGAAAAAGAAAACCGAAATTGTGGCGACTAAACCAATCTCGAGCCTGCAATAATTTCACAAAACTCCACACGAACATAAAAGTGATATTTTGGGACTCGCATTAGCCATCATTAACCTCCCTATTGATCACCGCTTAATCTTCTAGCGGAGCCTGGAAACGCATTTACATAAATGCCAGATACGTCTGCGGTTCTTAATTGCAATTCAATTATCGAGAAAGCTGCCTTTCCTTTTGTCCGATTCAACAATGTTGATTGCCTTGGCCGGACAACAATGAATTTCAAATCGGATAAATTACCTTTTGGAAAAAGGAATCATTTTGAGCAAATGCGATAAATGATGTTTGCATTTAATGGTCCCATCAGCTGCCATTCGAATATACTTATTGAGGATGGTGATAAATTGTTTGTCTATCTCTGGAGAACGATTAAATTCAATAAATTCATTATCTTCATTATGGCTGTGTAACTGTATATTTTTGAGAAATCCCGGGATAGCACAGTCACAATTTCTGGAATGGAAACGAAAATTTCAAATGGTAAACTTTTGTTGGTAATTTTTAATGTGTGTGTTTGTGTGTGTGTGTGGTTTAAAATTTTTTGGCTTTGGCAGAACTTATTAGCCAGACTGTTTTAATAAAAAACTATTTGAAAGTAACATTGAGTAGTAGCTCAAACATAGATTTTTTCCCCTCGTTTTTTGCTTTTTGAATTTTCATTTCTGTTTGTTTTTGTATTTTTTTTCTTTTCAATGATGTGTCACAAGAACCCCCTTTCCATTTAATTTTTTTCCCAAGTGGCGTCCAAATTTCAATTTTTTGAGTTGACCGTTCAAAAAATAAAGTGGGGGGGCATTAAAGAAATGCACTGTATGTCATGTGTATGAATTTCAATATTATTTGTTCCTATTGTGATATATTCTCCACAAACCCTTATACTCTTATTTGAGTCGCAAACATGTACTTGATTTAGGTAGTAAGAATTGTTTTTTTCTTCATTCATTTGCATTGTCCTATAAGTAGGTAACTGTTAGGCAATAAAGCTATTATTATTATTATCATTATCATGGAGAAGAATACTCTGTGAAGGTGTAACATAAACTTCACTGTTGAGAATAATAGCTATAATCGTATGCTCGTTGATAACTGAACCATTTCGATAATATTGTTGTAAATCATGCCCAATAGAAAATAACGCCGGCCGCCACTGGTAACCATAAACCAAACGTGATGTAGCTAAGAGAGCGTGAATGCACAATGTTCCCTGCCGCTCTAGAGGCAGCGAGAATAATGCTACCGATTCTGATGGAATTTCGGCGAAATTTTCTAGCGCATTCAATTACGATATAAAAACGCTAGCTGCGAGCATATCGAGACAGTCAAGTGGAAGCCACAGTGCGGTACGCGAAGTGATCTAATAAGGCGATAGACATTCAAATAATAGTTGAATTTTTAGTTGAAGTGTTTGTTGCATTTAAAGTGAAATACAGTTAAGTTTGATTATTCAGTGTAGTCAATTATTGGTCAACCCACGGGGGAAAATAACAAGATTCAAATATACGGGTGACAATGAATCTATTAGATTCAATCCTACATTAAGGTCTGTCTGTTCAAGTGTTTTTGAAAAACTTACGAACTTGAAAATTATTTCACACGAAAAAGTAATTTTGCCAACTTGTCTCATTACTATCTATCTATCTGAGATCCTTAAGCCGGGTCCATATTAGTAAATATTTGCGTTGTGTGTTGAATTGAGGATTCGCCATAAATATTTGCGTCGCAAATTGGTTAACTTCCCTGCACAAATTTTTACGTTGTGCGCCGTGCGTCCCTGCTCAACACGTGTGCGAAGTTGTGTGGTGGTTTGTTTTTGTTGAATTTAGTTTTTTCGCGGTACCTACCGAGTTAGTACATCGAGAAAATAAACAAAAATGAATTTAAACAAAGAGGACAGTCTCCAGTTAATTCAAGAATATCAAAAACACAGGATGTTATGGGACCCAACAGATAAGTGGTATTTCCATAAAATTAAAAAAAATGATGCTTGGGACGAAGTCGCTACAGCTTTAAATATAGATGTAGAAGACGCAAAAAAGAAAATATCGAGCCTGCTGGGCTCATTTCGCAGAGAAAAAGCGAAAGCACGAAAGACGATGGGAACCGGCAAAGGTAAGTTTGTTTTTAATTAATTTAAGTAATAAAATTAATATACAAATTGTTTTAGGTGCAAAAGATATATATAGATCGGATTGGTTTGCCTTCAACAGTTTCGCATTTCTTATGGAAAAGGACGATCCACGACAAACCATTAGCTCGGAAAAAATAAATGATGTAAGTAGAACTAATAGACCTATACATGCATGTATTAAGCAGTTTATTATTGACGCATTCACAAATTAACATTATTTATGAATATNCTAACACTTATAATTCTTGAAATCCATTTTTTATTTTGATTGTCTTTTGAACAACCTATCAAGGAGGTTACATACAGCGCCATCTGCCCGCGAATAGATCAATCAATACAGATCCCGAGCTTGAGAGGACAATGTTAAGCATTACAAACAAACATACATACATACATATAAACATACATATATACAGGTGAAGCTAAAATAAAGCGTGTAAAATAGACTGAACAAATTTGACAGATGTAGCTTTAACAAGATGACCGTTATCAATTGTCAAAGTTCTGAAGTCCCTGTTGGAATACCCTATAGAAATAACCATTTTGACTACGAGTACTTACGTAACTAAAGCGGGAAATAATCCAATTTGTATAAATCGTTGATTTTCTGATACATTAAGATACACATTTGTTTACAAGGAAACATTATCAACCAGTTTGTTGGTATTGATTGTCTAGTAAATTAATTAATGAGTTCGTTGGTCTTAGTACCGCCATGCCTATAAATTATTGACGAATATTTTTCGTTTATTGATATTCCAACGAGAACGGTTCATCTCTAAACGGTCCGAGTCATTGACCCAGTCCTTGATTGTATTACAACGGAGAAAATGAGTAGATGATAATGGCGACTATAGGTACTTGCCAGTAAAATATTCAACATGAGCAAATAAGGGAGGAAAAGGAAAAAATATGATTCAAACAAAATTATATTTTCGTCCGTACAAGTTGAATCTCTGAATGATAAATTCAGACCAATGTTTTGGTTGAAGATGACTGCCGCAGTTGTAGTTGAAACGTTTGAGAGTAACCAGAGATGACCATGGCAAAAGATGGAAACCAACCAAAACATTGAAAGCCTATATTCCTATAATAATTCAGATCACATTATATTTGTTCCGAGGTTGATTTAATTTGTGCTTTTTTCGCCCTCTTTGAAAGATATGAACGAGGTGTTATTAGATTTGGAATAGCGTGTAGATAACTTTTGAAAAAATTCAAGTGCCGCTTACAAAAAATGAACAATATGGTGTTAGTTTTAGATTTGTTGAATTTCAAACTGTTCTTTTCAGCCCACAATATGATTTTATCATATATATCCTCAGCAGTGTTATGGAGTGCCTCCATGTTGTCTTCAACAATCAAAATATTTGTATCGTCAGCATAACTTGTAACCAATACCGAGTTTGTTTTACTGATGAACGTAATTAGAGCATTAGCAAATAACAAGATAAAAAAAGGGGCCTAAATTCGAACCCTGGGGAACTCCCTGCTTTATATCACAATCATCGCCTGTACATTGACCAATTCTCACTTTTTGCCCCCTACCTATAAGATAAGATCACACCAAATCATGTGGTACCCCTCTTACACCTGATCTATAAAGCTTAGATAGTAACAGTTCATTGTCGACACAATCAAAAGTACGTGAGAAAAAAGGCCCATGACATATTTTTCTTGTTGAGAGCATCAACAATTCTCGACTGAAATTCACCATGCAATGAGAATGACAATAGTTTGTTTTGTTCGTAAAACATAGTCAACTGTTGTTTTAGATTCAACTCGAATGCCTTGGAGAGACTTGACAGTAGGCTTATTGCTCTATAATTGTCAAGGTCATTCACATCACCTTTTTTAAATAATGAGCATACTGCTGCAAGCTTCAAATTTGCTGGAAAAATTCCATTTACAGAAGACAGATTTATTAAATATGTCAGGGGACGATTACATGGGTTTTAGTTTTTAATATGAATGCCAAGAAAATAAATAACTTTTATGTTATAGCCTAGAACATTACTACACTACATGGATTTAGTAGTGAATGTTTGAAAGCCTGTGACTGTGGTCCTTTTTTTCAACAACCAATATTTTCCTTATGTCTGATGTTCGATTTACAGTACAGTACCTAGATGTAGTGCACTCTGTGTTCCTCTCGAATATTTAGGACTGACAACACGATGGCGTTACTTTACTAGTGTCGCCATCTGTTGCCTACACAGACTACCTATCAACTCAAGGATTCACCAACACAACACAACAAGATGGCGTTACTTTACTAGTGTCGCCATCTGTTGCCTAGACAGACTACCTATCAACTCAAGGATTCACCAACTTATCAGCGCGCTTTTTTTACTGTAACAACCGTTACTCACCGGCTGGTTGCTGATCAGCGGCGTGTTGATCGGCTGCCTGGACGACACCTGACTCAACATCAGCCTGGCTGTTTTCCTTGCTGCGGGGGAACTTGGCTGCGAAATAGTAGCATTATCCTCGCTGTCCTCGCTGCTGCTACAAGACGGAGGCGTGGGTGGTAAGTTGTGGAAGTGTGCAGCAGTCACTGGTTCTATTTTGATGGTCGCCCTCGTTGCGCCAGGTAGGTGTATCCTCTGCGGGATGATAGTGTGAGGCGACGTTAGCATTACGTTCGTGGTGGTGTTGATAAGGGCTGTGCGGTGATCCGGAACCTGTTGGGGAAAAACAGAATCAGGTGGAGTTGGCAAAGCTATTGTTTCAATGGGTAAGTTATGGCTCTACCCGCTTACAAAAGAATCGTAGGTCCAGTTATTATGATTCTAGGCGAACTAGAAGATATGCTGAATGCTGTGAAATATTCTGTCGGAGTCCCATTTTTACCTAGTCAAGTAATCACCTAATTCATTTCCATAGATTTGTTGGATAATAGTTGATTTTTCAAAAAGAATCAAAGGGTTTTGTTAGCTCAACCGTTAAACTGGCAGAACCAAATTTGAGTCAGACAAATTCTTCTCAATTCCAAAGACAAAAGGACCTGATGGAACCTGATGGCAACAGAACTTGATGGAAATTGATGGCAACATGACCTGATGAAACTTTATGAAACCTGATGGCAACAGGACCTGAAACTTAATAGAACCTGATGGCAACAGGACCTGACGGAATTTGATAGTAACAGGACCTGACGGAATATGATAGATAGCAACAGGATCTGACAGAATCTGAAAGCAATAAGACCTGACGGAATCTTGTAGCAACAGGACCTGACAATGGCAACAGGACCTGATGGAATTTGATAGCAAAAGACCTGACGGAATCTTGTAGCCACAGAACCTGAAGGAATCTTGTAGCCACAGGACCTGACGAAACGTGGTGAAACTTTATAGCACTGATGGCAACAGAACCTGATGGAATTTGATAGTAACAGGATCTGACGGAATATGATAGATAGCAACAAGACCTGACAGAATGTGATAGAAATAGGACCTGATGGAATCTTGTAGTAACAGGACCTGGGAACTGGTTCAATCTGATGGCAACATGACCTGTCGGAACCTGATGGCAACAGGACGTGAAGAAAAACAACTCACCATTTCGACATCTAACGGCATATCGCTGGCATTGACATATATAGAGTGTGGTGACGATGGGCAGGAAGAGTGGTTACTGTCTGTTTCGCTGGAAGGTTCATCTTTTATCGACACGTGATCTTGTTCCATGTCACCGCAGTCAGTTTTCATCGAAATCGCAGGATAATATTCATCGTCCATGTCTGAAATGGAACAAAAAAACCAATTTTAATATTTTTCTTTCGAAAATGAAGGAAGAAGAAGGTTAGTTTCCCTAAAAAGACGCTGTTTCATTGAAGCATGATTGCAACAAGATGCATACCCATCTCATACAGTCATCAATTCGATGTCGTTCAGTCAACAGCTCTAGATCTGGCGATAGAGCCACTGATGTTGCACTTATTTGTCAATAGATGGGGTATGAATCGGAATCCGTCATATATTCAACTAGACAATATTATTGGATGTTTTTTAAGAGTAAAACCGCCATTAGCAAAATAATCAGTCTTACTTATAGCAATAAATCTCCGGGAATTTATAATATAACAATTTTCTTGTTGCTTGCTTCTAGTATCGCAGTGCCCGACTTGTTCTCGTTACAAACGCGGTGACTACGATGGTGGTATTTGACTCTGGTTTTATACTATTATTAGTGGATGTGACTTGGTTTTCCTTAACTGGATTACCTGTTCTGTAAGGGCAGGTAGCCAGGTCTTATTATTGTTCATTGTCTCTTCTTTTCTATTGAAATTATCCTTGTTTTTAAATTTATATTGCCTCCCTATATATTCTTGGTTCTTGGATAGTAATTTTGAGTTTTATCGAGTACTACTGTATCTTCTTATGAGATAATGTGAGTGCCTTCTTTGTGTAGAGCATGTTCAGCTACAGCTGATTTTTTATTTGCGCAAGACGAGAATTTCTCTTGTGTTCAGAAAAACAGATTTCTACACTTCTGCAGCTACCCGCAGCTACAAGGAATCCGGTACACTCCGGGTATTGCTAAAGGTTCTCTGGGGTCTTTAGCTGACCTTGAACTGTGTTTGGATAGCTTTTGTGCTTTTGTTGGCCTGAATATTGGTTTCACGTCGTGTTTCTCTAAGATTGTCTCAATCCAGTCTATAATATTTTCAACAGAGGGAACGAAAGCTTTTTCTTTGACCAGCCTGGCTGGAGTTACTTTTAAGTTCTCTCTCCTGGGTCGTATGGCCCGCCAGAATTCTCCTTAGTTGTACCCATTCCCTTTGAAAGCATTTTTAAGGCGATTGAGTTCCTCAGGAATAATTTCTCGTATATCGTTTGAACCTCAGATGACTGAGTAAATGTATCATTCACACTTCTATATGCGATTTTTGGTCTGCTGAAATATTTATTTTCCAGTCTGCTCTATAAAGCTATTGGGGTTTCTGTTAACCTTTACCAATGATGTTTTCGTTTCAGGAAGTTAAGATCTACCAGTTTTTTCACCAAGTTCTCTGTTTTGTGTTTCTCAGAATAGAAATAACTGGTTTCTTGGTGGGTTGTATTATAGCTTATTCTGAACCCAGTGGAAGCATCTCCATCCGTATTGTTTTCAAATCGATGAATGGCACCACATATTATCATCTTCATTCAATATCGATCCGTAAACTCTATGAAACTCTTCGAAATTTTGGTTTATTTCATGATGACTATTCAATTTGATTTTCGTTTTGATCGGATATATTTTCAGGTAATCATCAATACTTTCGTTGTTCTTAAACATCATTCGAGTTTAAATGGAAATTTTCGAGGAAAGTTAATTGACATTTCACGTAACATTTTTTCAATTGTTTTACAACTTTTTGAATCGTTATATCTCAAAAACGGTGGCTCGTAGAAAAGAAAGTATTGATACATTTTTTGTAGATAATTTTATGATCTATATA